TGTTTAGTTCGTGTGAATGTACGAGCGAACCTCAAACCCCTGTTAAAAATTAAATGTGTGCGAGCTACAATGTCATTGATTTTTCAGTCACTAAGGGTATCTTTCTATTGTCTGTGTCGAATGTGTGCATTAGTACACGATCATTTTTTCATCTTTTTTTCAATTCTTACCGACACTAGTTACACACATTCCTTGGCTCAAAGCGTACAACCTTGCATAATACGCCTCAGTTTGGTTTTATTGGGAATAGTTTTGTGAGCCATATATTTACATGTAACGATGCTGTCTCTTTTCCTAGTTTTGAAAGCGGAAGTCGTTGGAGGAGAGACTTTTGGTATGTAATCTTATAATTATGTAAAGAGACCGTTACATTTAAGGACAATGACCACTAGTAGGACGTGAAAGAAAGATGCAAAGTTTATTTTACTTTTGTCACCGGAAAAGTTGGAGACCTCCGCCGATCGCAAAGTGATAAGACTTGTCACACTCGATAACTGTCTTCTGTCACTACAACAGCTGCTAAAACACGTAGTAGAATGACGACAGCTACGGCGAGTTCCAACTTTTCCGGTGAAAAAGGTAAAATAATCTTTGAATCTTTCTTTCTCGTCCTACTAGTGGTCATCTTTCTATTGTCTGTGTCGAATGTGTGCACTAGTTCACGATCTTTTTTCCATCTTTTTTTCAATTCTTACCGAGACTAGTTACACACATTCCTTGGCTCGAACGCGTACAACCTTGCATAATACGCCTCAGTTTGGTTTTACTGGGAATAGTTTTGTGAGCCATATATTTACATGCAACGATGCTGTCTCTTTTCCTAGGTTTGAAAGCGGGAGTCGTTGGAGGAGGTACTTCTTGTATGTAATCTTAAAATTATGTAAAGAGACCCAAAGTTTAAGGACGATGATCACTAGTAGGACGAGAAAGAAAGAAAGTTTATTATACTTTTGTCACCGGAAAAGTTGGAGGTTGAGCCCTCTCCCGATCGCAAAGTGATAAGACTTGTAACACTCGATAACTTGCTTCCGCAACTACAGTTGCTAAAACACGTAGTAAAATGACGACGGTTATCGCGTATTCCCATCAAAACGATGCTGGTTCACGCACGCTCTTCCTATCACTGAGAAAATACATTTTTTCCTCTTAGAATCTAAAGTTCTCTAATAACGCAATACAATCCAATAATTTTTACTTTCTGAAGTAACAATGTCCCTAGTTCCTATCAAGGCGCGTCTTCATATTAAGCGCTACTTTTTACTAGCTTTTACTGAGCGCAAACCGGCCCAATAGGGATGAGCACGAAAAGGAGTCAAGGGTCCAATGTAGGTAAGATGCCCTCCAACCTGTTCGTACAACCCATCGAAGTATAAACACTCTGGTGCGGCATTTTCATCTAACAGTAAATATTTGACTTTTCTGCGCCTAATGGTTCATTTTTCTCCATTACGGTTACTATACATTTGACAAAGAAAAATCAGTTATTTTGAAAAAAGTTTAACAGATTCCATCAACTCAAGCCTCTAATAACTTTTCCAAGACTAAAAAGGGGTGAAACACGGTCCATCGGCCACGAGATAAGAAACGTGAAGTAGTAACATGCAATATCAACACCCTATAAATGGCAAATTATGCTTGGAAAAAATTTTTACGCCTGTTTTACAGCTAGCGGTTAACTTCGATGAGAGCCTTCTTTATTCATCTCTCGAAGGCCGTTATCCGGCGCGACCGTTTATAAAAATCACTTCAAATAGATTATCTCAAGGATACTCAGAAGCTTTTCTCATGATAATAGTAAAAATTGTGGCCATATAATAAATCGATGAACATATTTTATCAGTGGTTTTCCTTTCGTTAAACCTGTCCTTTTTTACGTCAAGAAAAGTATCCACCTACCTTAACCTAACGCTCGACCAATGTCACGCATGCTTCGATGTACCCTGCCGCTCAGGCCACTTAAGGCATTACTACTAAACTGAATATGCATATTTTGTTAAATGTTATTTAGAACGGTTTGCTTCAATCAGTGATCCAGAAAAGTGAACTAAAATGTGGCTCAACGAAAAAAAACACGTGAAACGTGATTTCAAATAACACGTGACATTGCTTCGTCAATGACTTCACAAAACACGGAAGGGTTGTAAACCTTAATCTTAAGAATTTTCACTGCCAAAATGTTCCATAAACAGTGTAAATCGTAAATTTGTCTTGTATAATTGGAAATGTTATTTATTCTATTAGCTATTTAACTAATTAACAAGTCACGTGACCCTTTTCCCTTTATTTACCGATTCCTATATAACGTAAACACACATTCAAGGCGAATTTTGCAGAACCTTTTTAATAGCCTCTGAAATTTACCTAAAAGAACTTGTTGCTCTTTCATTATCCTTTCCCCATTTTAGGGTAAATATTTTGACCATTAACTCTTAATTATCATTCACGTGACGAAAATTTGAGCGTCTTAAATGTCTCATATTGGTAAGGCCATTAAGCTATATTTGTGCTTCAATTTCCAGGATCATTGATAGAAGCAAACCTAAATAGCATATAATTATTTACTTTACTTTTACACATCGTTTGCCATCTCCGCCAGCAATAAGCGAGAGCTAGACGAGGCGGGCTGAGTGGAAAGGTTACAGCAGTCATAAATATTAAATTAAAGGGAGCTATGAAGATTATATAAAGTAAACTAAACAAATTAAGCGGAAAGATGAGAATTACAAAAAAAACAAGCTACAGTTATAAATTTAAATAGTTTTACAGAAATTTATTAAAGAACTATCAATTATTGGTGCATTACGTCATGGCTGCAGATTTTGCGATTTTTTGTCGCAGAATAGGCACTTCCCCAACATAATCATCCTCCGTTTCCATTATCGACAGCAATAAGTCATGAAAATGTTTTTTAAAAGATCCTTTTAAGAGTTGACGAAATTCGTTGGGAATTGCGTTCCAAAGTTTAGCTCCAATTCTGGAGAAAGAACCTTGATTTTGATTCAGCCTTGACATAATTTCCAGACGAAGAAAACCTGGTCTCGTACTTGTGCTTTGAATTAGCTTTGGTAAAGAGATCACAGATGTTAGACGGAGCATTATTCAAGCAGGAAACGTCAAACATTATAGAAGATACTTTTTCAGCATATAATATTTGTAAGGGTAGAATGTTTAAGGAAATAAATAATGACAATGCATGTGCTCTAGTGGGTTCAGAAAAATACATCAAACGAAGGACTCGTTTTGGCAGCTTGACCCTAAGCCACCAACCCTATGTCAGATAAGGCAATATCAATGATTGATAAATATTTAAAAGGGTAGTACGTGGGACGAGGTACCAACGACGGACAACATCACCAACAGTTCTGCTTTTTCAGTGTAAAGTTATTAAATAAATATGAAATTTCCAGCTTAAATTGCTGTCCAACAGGACACCAAGATATTTAACATGGTCTTTACACTCAAGGGGAGTAGGAATTTTGGTACATCTTGGCTGTTGACCGCTGACTTTTTCAATAGCATTTTACCAAAATATGCATATTTAACTAGATAGTCATGCCTTAAGTGGCCTGAGTGGATGTCAGAGGTCTTCTCGCTCATAAGCGAGGAAAAAAACCTCTAGCACTCAGGCTAACTTCAGTGAAGCAGTACCTCAAATTTTTGAGAAAAGGGTTAGGTAATACTGTTTTAGATTACGAGACTTATTGCTATCATTCCTGAAATATTCTTCAGATCATGATGATGGTGGGAAGTGTGGCCCAGGCGCAGGCGATAAGCCTAACTGTAGATGTAGGACGAAATGTCGCGGTACTAAGCTGAGGAGCATCAGCTGCAACATTCTCAACAGTGACTGCAACGAAAGTAAAAGAACAGTGTGCTGTTGCAAAAGTGACGAAAGTTATTGCCGTATGTTGTCCGTAACAAATCATATAATAATATAATCATATAATTAAGAAACAAAGAAACAAACAAAGTGGGGATTTTAGTAGACAGGATCGAATTTCCCTTAAGTGAGAAGTCACAAGAATACATTTAATTATCTTTTGTTTTTTTTGTTTTTATCGTGCTTATCAGCCTGGTGTAAGAACGGAATAGTAACTATAAACTATTGGCCTTCAACTAATAACTTCGGTATGTACGGTGGTAAACCTTTTTTACTCGCCTCCATCGTGGTGATGGTAGTTATACTTCTATGATTATGTCTGAATGGAGGCATTTTGCACATTATTTTGGCGTGGGATGGAGGAGGGGGGATTGTCGGAGGGAATCTCCAGTAGTTTAGGATGGTCAATTTACTCCTCGTTATATTTCTATCCAGTTAGTGTCGAATCCATGACGTCACCGTCACCTATCTCTCTTTTTATACAGTAAATACCGTCTAGACCTTTATAACAATAACATTGTCGAGTTAGTATCAAGCGGTTCTTTTCATAAGTAGTGAGCGTCTCTCTTATACAATAGGAACAATAGGCTTGTCCATCGTTTCCAGTAGTGTGGCTATGTTGCAAGATAAGCCCTGTGGGTGTATAGAATGGGTATAGGTGTTAGTATACCTGGATTTTTAAAACCGGGTTAGCAAAAATATCAACTCATTCTACTACTTGGCAACTTAAAACAACAAAACTCATTCAAAGGCCGATTAAAAGCCTTTATCTGACGATGGGCAGTAAGTTAATGGTCCCTAGAAGCATTCCAACGAGTTTAAATTTAAAATGACGCAAATTTTAGAACATTTATTCAGTAAACTGACTTCGCGAAGTTTCAAACCGGTGTCATTTCAGTCTAAACGTTTTTAAGTTGAGTGAACTGCAGCGAAAGAGTGCCTGGTTAAGGCTTACATAACAACTTAAATAGTTAGCCAATATGCTCATTAAAATTAAGCTGCGTGTCTCAATAATTATATCTAAATTAAATTCATATTACCCACTAACCCTGGGTTATCTGCACCCAACTTTAAACAACCAGGATTCATGACTGGTTTTAAGTTTTACTTAACCTTTCTTTTAAATTACTCCAATAGATACAAGCACACCACTTTCCACAGTGATATCAGCTGTAACAACATCAAAGTCTGTTTCAACAACAACGCTGCTTACAATGACATCAGCCTTGATAACACCCAAACCACTGCCAGGTAAACCCAAACTTTCTTCTTCAAGGTGTTTCGATACAGTTTTTGGGAGACCATACCGATATTTTTCAATCAACTTAAAAGTGATTTTACCCTCGTTCGATCGCTACAAAACTTTCACCAGTGAGTGACTATGAATTGAAGTTTATCGAAATGCAGCTTTTAGTAAAACCTATATCACTATGACAACAACAAACAAAAAATTTTGACATCGATAAAATCCGAATTTTGCGCGATCTAGACTTGCTATTGAAAGTCCGACACCAGAAACTTACAGTGTGGTAATATAAATTTAGATATGAAAGCTTAAAAAGCAAATCCATTTTGATACCTTTTGTGTGCAACTAAATGAGAGAAGGCGTGGTGTACCTTCCCATGAGATCTCGCGCGCCTCAACCTAGCCCCCATTCTTCTCTCACCCCAAAAACACACAAATAGCGACTGGGTACGAGTCTGATATACATCATGAAGATTATATGATGAGGTTAAAAAAAGAATTATCTCGAGCCGTTTTACAGATAATACAGAAAAGGGCTAAAAGTCAAAGTTTAGAATAAAGTTGCACTTAGACAGCTGCTGAGGAAACAGGTTAGTTATCAGGATCGCAAGACAAAAAATACACCGAAATTTCCTAGCATCGAAAAATGATATCTAGCAGCTTTCTGACTCTACTTAAGATTAATGTGAGTTATTTAGAACTTTTTTTATCAAACATTTTATCACGGCTATTGAAAATATAAGGTCTGAAATATATTAATTGCGTTTTATTTGAATTCAAACATACAGAATTTTCTACTTCTCACGGAGGGTACATGCTAAACACCACACTTTAAGTTCCTGGCCGTCGGACTTTCAGTAAAAGGTCTAGATCGCGCAAAATTCGGATTTTGTCGATTTCAAAGTGTTTCGTTTTATTGCTGTCAGAGTGATATCGATTTTACTAGAAACCGCATTTTGACAAACTTCAATTCATAGGCAATCACTGGTGAAAAGTTTGTAGCAATCGGACAAGGACAAAATCGCTTCAACATCGGTGTGGTCTCCGAAAAACTGTATGAATACACCTTAAGATGTACTCAAAAAGAACTATAACTGGTGAAATTTACTTTTTACGCTTTCGTTTCTAATTAAAAATTTGTTCATGCTTAGCGTGCGTATATCGAGTTATGGATGCACGCGGGAAGTTTGGAGAGCACGAAAGATGCGTAAGAGTTGCACGAGGCGGTAGCCGAGTGCAACTCTAGCTTCTTGAGTGCTCTCCAAACTTCCCAAGTGCATCCATAACTCGATATACGCACAGCTATAAGCATGAGCAAATTCTTTTATAACATAGCTGACAAAAATGCTTGCTTTTTGATGAACTGCAAAATTCTCGTAACGCGCTACACAATAACAAACGGTTCTATTGGCTGATTACGAACACGCCACAATCGTCTAGTTTGAATGAAAATATTCTTTCTGTAAAACTGAGAAAGAAAATTTGCTTCTTTATTCGTTAACGATCAATGGAAACTAAGCAGAAACAAAGGTAAAAGAGTCTTAAAGTTCACCTAAAGTTAAAATACTAACATGTTCGTAAGAAGTCGTGGAGTATGGTTTGGATTTGCTGAAAAGATGTTTACGTTTTGCTCGGCGAAATCCAGAAAACATGTTTTTAGCGAAGACGACTGTCATCCTTCTTTAAACTTATATTCATTTACGAACATTGGCTGGTCATTACGGCTTCTTGAGAAGACCTGGCAGCAGTTGTTTTTGTGAGTAGAAAATTTATGTCTTCTTGTGTAATTTGTGTTGTTATTGCGAGAGAAATTTTCCTGCTTCAGTCGGATTGTCCGGAGAAAACAAAGTACATAACAAATTTAAAAACAACAATAAAAACGGAAATTTTGCCTTTAAATGTTGTTGATGACCAGTTGGAGTCTGTTCTGTTCCCAGTGAATGTCTTTCGGCCAAAATTTGCTGCAGCTGGTCTTCGACAAATTTGTGAAACGCGCGACTTGCGAGTTTTTTTTTAAATTCGGCTTTATTTTTGCTGCTTGTTGGACCAGGACCTAAAAGGTCAATGCCGACAGAAAAATTGGGCAGTTCTTTGCTGGTTTCTTCCGTGTTTTAAAGAGAAGGAAAAGTGCACTGCAGCTTAAAAGTCGACAATTTTGCAGCCAGGTAAAAAAAAAATGCTCACGTCATCTTATTTACGCACGGGCGTGCGTAAATAAAGATTTTGTTCATAGCGGCTCAATAGGACTTAAATAGGGCGAGCACGCGCGCTATGTTATAAATTCATATTTCCCACTAACCCTGGGTTATCTGCACCCATTTTGAACAACCCGGATTCATGATTGATTTTAATTTTTACTTAAACTTTCTTTTAAATTATCCCAATAGAAACAAGCACACCACTTTCCACAGTGATATCAGCTGTTAGAACATCAAAGTCTGTTTCAACAACAACGCTGCTTACAATGACATCAGCCTCGACAACACTTAAATCACTGCTAGGTAAACCCAAACGTTCGTCTTTAAGTTGTACTCAAAAAGAATTAAAATCAATTTACTTTTCACGCTTTAATAATAATAATAATCACCTTTATTTTTCGAGGGTGGCACTTGACAGTATAAAATTCTGACAAACTCCTGGCCCTCAAAACAAATTAAAAATAAACACAAATACATATAAATAATGAAATAATTAAAACTAGGTGATTTAACAATTAAAATATGAATTATCTAAAAATATAAGATATATAAGAATAAAGTTGAATAGCCTAAGCTATAGTAAAGTGATGAACATCTTTATAGGACTCCAAAAAATACTTACATAAAGATTTCTTTAAAATTTCTAAACTAGAACTACACTTAATTTCATTGGGAAGTGAATTCCAAAACCTAGTGGCTGATACTTGAAAAGTCCTGGCACCTTCTGATTCTTTCTTATACTTTGGACAAATTAAATTAAAAGACCCATATCTACTTTGTCTTTCAGTAAAACGTATGTCGATGTTTCGTTTGAGTAATTCTAGCATATAATCGGGACACACCCCGTTCAAAAGTTTATAAACTAACGCGCACTGATTAATCTTAGCTTCATGAAAAAGATAGCCAATTAAGTTCTCTAAACAGATCTACACTATTTGCTCTAGCATCAGCATTGAGAATAACGCGCGCGGAACACTTCTGATCTAAAGGTAAATGAGGCCTGATTTTTTTCAAAACAGCAATTCGCTGCGTTAGCTTCTTACATAGATTATCAATATGCTTATTAAAATTAAGCTGAGTGTCAATAATTACACCTAAATTAAATTCATATTACCCACTAACCCTGGGTTGTCTGCACCCAACTTTGAACAATTTTTACTAAAACGTTCTTTTAAATTACTCCAATAGAAACAAGCGCACCACTTTCCACAATGATATCATGTGTTACAGCTTCAAAGTCGGCTTCAACCACAACGCTGCTTACAATGACATCAGCCTCGACAACATCCAAACCACTGCCTGGTAAACCCAAACTTTAGTCTTTAAGTTTCCGAAAGTGCGTATATATCGATTAATATTTTGCCTGAATCCAATTAAAAATACAATATTGAGGCAGCGGCTGATCAAGGAGAGGGGCCCAGTTCCCCCACTCTATCTGTAGGCCAAATAGACACCACCACCCCCACCTAATCTTACCTTAGCAACTGGACAAGGGCCTCCCCCATCCCTCCACCCACTTACATACACAGTGAAGAATTTGCACAAAGAGAAAAGGCTAGCTCACTGATAAGAAAATTTTCTCTTTTTTTGTTTTTGTTTATTTCTACTAATTGTAAATCTCATCACAGATTACATGACATCGCATTTTGAAACACTAACAACAAAAGTCGTGGCAACTACAGAAATAACACCAACTTCCACAGAACCAGAGGCAATAGCAACTTCATCTACACTTTTTAGTACAGCCTCTCCAACCGTGAGCCAATCGTCGAAAGTGAACGCTACAGAGAGGGTCAGTGTTTTTTAATACACCCCTATTTATAATCTTTAGTTCTCATTAATGGCGTTTTGATTTACATAACATCTCCAGCAAAGTCGAACCGAAGTGGACAGGTCTTTATTTGAAGCATTTAGTCCCGGATAATTTTACTGAATTAATTTTTCTACCTCTCACTGGGGAGCAAGACTGCCTATTTTCGTATTTCGAAAAACTGCATTGTTCACTTACTGAATGTTATTACTTCCAGTTTGATTTTAGTTTGTCTTTATTTGAAAAATATGATGAAGGTGAAGACTAATTGTGAACCAGTTAAGCCGATACTTCTATTTTCATTATCATTTATTTCATTTATTTCTTTATTTTTTTCTTCGTTTTATTTTATTCTTTAATATTAATAGTGTTTTTCTGCAAAAGATTATTCTATTTTATGACGTTGCATGGACAACCGCGTATCTATTAACCCTCGAGCATACATGTAAACTCATACCCCTAACGTGCTACAAGACAGGCTAATGGGTCTGGCGTTTTCATTACGTTGCGATATTTTGAAAAATTTCTACCCCAAAATGGTGTTTATTATGGAATAAATATGCAAATGAGGCACTTCATATAGTGGGGGTACCGGTCAGTGACGTTATCTAACATGTAATGGCGGGGGTTTTATATATTTTTTACTTATTGCCCATATTTTTCTTTCTTTTCCAGAAAATTTATAAGTTTTACTCAAAAAATATACTTTTTAACCTCTTAGTATGTAAGAGATACTTCATGTTGCTTCTGGCTAAGAATATGGCTCCAGACGATTAAAATATTACAACATAATTTTACAACGTGCCTTACTTGTCATTCAATATCTCCTACATCATTCTATTGGCAGATTCTGGCCAGATTCACAGCAAATATGTGTCTCAAAGATAAACAAACAGCTACTGAAATGGAAAAATGCTCAGATAAAAACCTTTTGATAAAATTTACGAAAAACCCAAGAGGGGGGCCAGTCCCCGCCCCTTGTACGTTCGAGAATTAATAAACGGCCACGGCACTTATCGGGATCCCGAGAGTGGCCGCTTAACGGAGGTTCAAATGTGTAGCCATGCAGCGGTAGGCAGCAATCAGAGTTCTCGAGGTAAATCCAGTGTGATCACACATCTGTTTATTTGGTTCATCCACAGCAAGAGAAGATAAAAGCCTGTTATCTTGTGCACAGTCCCGATAAGATGGACGCCTTCAATTTTTCCCTGGCTTTCTTTATCTCTTTGTTTGACTGTCTCTAAGACGAACACTTATTGCCGGTCCCAAAGGTTTTTGGTTTGGAGTGAGTTCACTGTAGATAAATCATTGGTCAGGGTTTTCATGTTAAGTCTTATTATTAGCCAAGACTGAACTGCTTAGTAGATTGCATCGACCATTCGGTAAACTAGTAAATGTTAATTTTGTGGCAGTCGCGTCAATATGAATCGCGGATGCAGGACCTCAATGTCAGCAGGGAAGACTCCTTACAGGTAATACCGATTTCTTTTNACACTTATTGCCGGTCCCAAAGGTTTTTGGTTTGGAGTGAGTTCACTGTAGATAAATCATTGGTCAGGGTTTTCATGTTAAGTCTTATTATTAGCCAAGACTGAACTGCTTAGTAGATTGCATCGACCATTCGGTAAACTAGTAAATGTTAATTTTGTGGCAGTCGCGTCAATATGAATCGCGGATGCAGGACCTCAATGTCAGCAGGGAAGACTCCTTACAGGTAATACCGATTTCTTTTCTCTCAGAAATTACAGACTTGTACGCTGTTCACATTAAGATAATTATAGTATTATTATAATGTTCAGATATAGTGCGCACTCTGATTGGCTCAAAAACCGTGCTTTAAGGGAGTATAAAACACTTGACCACTCCATTGATCGTCGAGGTTTCTGCACAAGTTTTGCAGCAACCCAACACTAAACTTAATCTGAAACGAAAAGACAATGTAAAATGAGGCGATTTTCCAGACCAAAGTCTTTTCGCCTTTTTTGCTCGCTTAAGCCATTGTTGCAAAATACGCGAGGCAAAAAAAGAAACTTCGTCATCATTGGAGGAATTTCGCCGCGAACTAAGCCTTTAACTATTTTAATACAAGCAGTTTGCGTCTTATGTTAAGACGTCCTCGTATAAATTGTTCCTTTCGCGTGTCATGCAAGCCGAGGCCAGAGTAATACTGAACGGAACAACTATGTAAAAAAATCAAGTTTGGATGAATGATTATACTTTTTGAGGACGACTATCTGTTCATATATGAAACTGTCCTGAGAAACAGGCGAATTTGTCATTTGGACGAATAATTTAACCATGATAATTGAATTTGGCTTTCGTGTGATATGAAGAATTGTGCAGATCTGGGGGGCTTTCATCCACCTCGGTTCACCCTTCTCGACTCCTCTTTAATTATTTATATCATGCTCAATGCCCCACCTAATAGGTACTATTACTATATATGTTGTGCTTCAATTTTATCCTTGGTTCAACCTTTATTTCCCCTTGTTTTGGGGTAAGGTAAAATTCTGATAATGAATTTAAAACAAAGGGAGATAAAATTTAAACCAAGGATAAAACTGAACCGCGACATACACAAAACAGTTGGAAAGTCTGAATTTTAAAGCAATGTGGTCAGTAACAGAATGACTTCAACATTATTCTATGCGTAGTGTGGTATCTCAAAGCACTTATATTTCTACTTTCTTTAGGAAGCAGCCACAATTAGCAACACTTTTTTCGAAGATTTAAAGAACGATCCGCCTGAAGATAATGGCATCAACATATTGGTAGCGACTCAACAACTTGATATGTTTGCTATCAGGTACCTCAAAACTCATAAGCATGCGAAGCAAACACAAGTCATGTCTCAAAAATGGTTCGGTGAGTGTTAACACGAGTAGGTGTCACCGTATCTCGTGGCTTAAAACATATAATAAACTATAATAACAAACCAGCAATTACAAAACTGCGTTGTACGATACCTTTCAATCATGGGACTTGTTTAAATTGACGAAAATCTGGACTTAACACAAGAGACGAGTATTTCCAAGATAGAATGATGGCTCGACTGGGTGTTTCCCTTTCTGTACCATTAATCTCTCTTGGTATTTCAAAGCTGGTTACTAAACCAAAAGAATATTACATGTACTACGCGGCGTACCAGGGGTTCTACGTAGTGGAAACTAAGATGTAATGGTGTGGAAGGATGTTGGGGGGATTGGCTTCAACAGTGTGTATGTTGGATCCCCTTAACAAACTGAATTCCTGGATTCACCCCTTGGCCTTGTCATGTTCTCTGTGAGTTCTCTGCGGCCAATATATTGGGCTGTCTTCATTATAGAGATAGTCCGCGGTGTAAACGATTTTATAAAATAACTAAGATAGTACGCGCGCTCTGATTGGCCGAGAGCAGTGTTTGCATGAGAGTATGTAAACATGGTTGTGGCGTCAAGTTGTTTGGCTTTTCGCGCGCTAATCACGCAAGCACCAAATTTGAAAAAGTTTTCGAGTTCAAAACTCGACAAGTTTACTTTATTTACCCATTCCTTCGTCGGCTGAAACATGGAAAATCGTTACAAAGAAGGTGAGTCAATTTTTCTTCGCTTAAGCTGACATTTTAAGCGAGAAAACTCCGTATTTTGCAAAGCATCTTTTTGCAA